TGATGAAGTGTATCTTCTAGTAGCTGACTGACAAAGAGGATAAAAGAGGTAAAATACTTAAGATGATGCATGTCTGAAAATGTCTTTAATTATCAAGTGTGAGAACAGAGTATACGCTGCTTGTAGGTTGTCTGTAATTTTCCTTCAGAAGTTTGAAGGAATCACTCTATTGTGTTCTTGTTTCCGGAATTACTTTAGAAAATCTGAAGCCATTCTAATTGTTAATCCTTTATATATGAACTGATTTTCCCACCCTTGGAAGCTTGTAAAGTCATCCTTGTCCCCACTGTTTGAAATTCACTCTGATAATCCACTATAAAATATGCTTGTGTGGACTCAGGACTTGTGTTGAGCATTCTGTTTTGAGCGATGTGATTTTCATTTACTAAGAATTTCATTATGCGTCTAAGAGTGATGGTTAATGTAAAATCTGATAGAAAATTGTGGTTTTACTGGAGATGACCAACATCCATGTTTATAATCCTACTTTGTGTTTTGAAAGCCCCCAAACATTGTGGAATGAAATTCAGAAAATAAGATTTTTTTAATTGCAATTCCCAGTTCCTGTTCTCTTAGTCACCTACCCTTCTCAACCAGTTACTTTTTATCTAACTTTATTATAAAAATTTTCAAACATACAGAAAAATAGAAAGTGTTCTGTGAACACTTTCTATTCCTCTATCTATTATTATATACCATTATATTATATACCATATACCATTATATTATATTATACCATATATTATATTATATTATACCATATACCATTATATTATATACCATTATATTATATACCATTCCTCTATCTATCCATTATTTCACCTTTTTGAGGGATACATTTCAAAATAAGCAGCAGATAACAGTATACTTCAACCCTAAATATTTCTTTCAATATGTCGTCATTGATTAGAGTTCAATATTAGTTTAGAAATCTGTTTCTTTTCAGGTAAAAAGTACATAGAAAGGCATGCATAGATCTTTAAGTGTACCATTTAATGACCTCTGTCTTCTGGCTCCTTTGAGTCAAGTGTTCTAATAAGGGGACTAACACCCATTATAAGGCCATATTCCCAAAACTTGTATATTCATTTAGATTTTCAGAAATAGATTTTGAATACTACAAAGTACCTTAAAATTTTCTGTTTTGTTTTTGTTTTTATTGTGTAGATGTGTTGTATAGTATAACAATTATAGTTGAAGGCATTTTTATTTTTTCAGATTGTTCCATGCTACAGCAAAAATTCTTAGCATGGCTAATGATATCACATGATACATGCTGGAGGAAATAGCTTGAGGATATTTTTGTTTAGTTAAAAGTATCAAATTGTAAAGAAAGGCAAGGATTGCCCTTTTGTTAACTTCATTAGCTACATAAATGAAAGAGGTAGTTACCTCAAGACACTAAACATTTATGGAGTGCTTTATAATTTTACTAGATGGTTGAATTTAGCTTAACTCCTTTGAGCCTCCCGTCGGCCATGTTAAATAATTTGGACAGTTGTTTCTGCTCTGCAGATGAAGAAACCAAGGCTTAGGCAGTAGGAAGGGCAATTGACTGTGTCGTCAGTCCTCTCACTTGAAATTTGTCCAGTGGCAACAGCTGCAGTCACACTAAGTCTTTAGTTCAGGTGCCATTCCAAGAGAGAAAATCAAGAGAGAAATACTGTGATTTGCTGATGAATAACTACCACGTGTTTGATTGTGCAGACCGGCGTGAACTGCAATGACAGCTCTGATGCAAAGACTCTCCATGCCAACCGTTTGGTTCTCCATGATGAAATACTTAGATATAAGGGAACTGCAACTATCAGTACCCAGACAGAACTAAGCGTGCTATATTTAGAATGGGACCCATTCTTTTCTCACAAAAGGGAGCATTATCATGATTGAAATGCCACTTAATGTGGCAAAATCCCTGTTTTTCAGCAATGTGTTATATGGGAAGCTCATTGGGGAAGAGAAAGCCTTATTGATATATCTGTCTATTTTGGAACGTTTATATTCCACAACTTCCTGAAGGTACTTCCCTTCTTTCCCTCAAATCGACAAATACTTAATGACAAAAGCATCTGGAGAAAATCAGCTTGACAATGTCTGGGTAAAAGGACTTCTCAAAAACGCAGGCAGTTTTGTTCTTCTCAGTGGATGTGAAGCGTTAGCTCTTGGTTTGGTGATACCACGAGGGAAAAACTGGAGGAGAGGATATGGCCCCCGAAGAAAAGTGTTCTTGAGGAAACCTCGTTTGGATAGAAACTTACTGAAAGTCCTTTTAGGATCAGACACTGTAAATAATCTATTTGAGTCTACACCCTTATTTTTGTCATATTGTTAAAAAGCAGTTTTCCATTGGCTATGCCAGGAATCTCATTTCTTTTAAGGTTTCCCCCATCACTGATAGAATGTTTTGGAGTTATTAGAAAATAGATTGCACAGAAGCTGAAAACCTTTAAAGATGTCTGCCTACAGAGTACAAATAATAATTCTTTCAATATAAAACGCTAGATCGATATTTTGAAGTAGGTAGTGGTTGATCTGCCTCTTGTACAGTTGAAAAGATGACAGGACCTGGTGAGTCACGTAAACACCTAGGTACCCTCTGTAGATAGGACAAGGACAAGGAAGACAGACAGGATGTTGTTCCCATTTCCTACTTAACCTTTGCCTCTGTCCCTCCTCTTCATGTCATCTTTCTCTCAGGACTGGTCAGTTTTGTTTTGAAGCATTGCTGGAACAGTTTTGTTTTTGAAGCATTTTTTAAGAAAAGATCATTCTTTATGTAAATCTTTGTGCTAGGAATATCCTGGCAGGTCTAAGGTCTAAGGCGTTTTTAGTTGAGAAAGAAGCAAAATGGATTCTGGGAAAAGAGGAGAAAGAAATATATCCAAGAGTGCCTGCCACCAGCAGTGGCTTCAGATAGCATGTCTCAGCTGTATAGCATATTGTACCTAATTTAGGCACAATCCACTTTGGGGCCAGTTTATTCTTTGAGGCTTGAATCTGAATTTTTTATTTTTTAAAAAATGCTTCTCTCTTTCCCCAATGCTATTGAAATTTTAGAGAATCAAGAAGAAAAAAAACGCATTCATAATTGTATCCTTCTAACATAACCACTGTTACATATACTTGCAGCCAAATCTTTCTTTTTCTTCTGTGATTGTTTTTATGTGTCTAAAATTAGAAAATGCCTACTTTTTAGTCTCCTGCTTCTGTGAAATGTCTTTCAGTGTGTCCTTGGAAAGCTGGCTGAAGGACAAATATTGGGTGATAGATACTACAGTGTATTAGCTAAATTGTCACTCCAGTCTGAAAAGGAGCTTTGTAACTGCATGCCGTGTTTTTCTCAGTAGGTGATTAATATTTGTACTCCATTACTAGTAAGTAAGTGATGAATGGTCTTTAAAATTATGCTGAGGATGAGGAGGATGGAAGACTCCTGAGAAAATCCTCTGTGCTTTTCAGAAATGTCCTGATCTGTGGCTTGCGTTTATCAGCTGCTGCTTTCAGACGTTCATTTTGTTTGTTTCCAGTTAAATGAGTCTTTTCTTAGTTATATCCAGATATATTTTCTATGGCAGAGTAATCAACTATTGTCACTCTTCATTCTGATTAACAAACATAACAAGCTAGCTCTGTGGGTATAAGAAATGGTGTCAGGTAAGATGAGAAAGGCCTGAATTTTCATTGGAGAAAAGTTGTTTGGAAGAGTGGATTCATGGAGTGGTTCTGTTTTATTTTGCCTGAATCAAGTCAATTCTAGTACATTAAAGTCGCTTATAGTTTTAATATAGTTCATCCTATGAAGACAGAATTCTTTGAGAATTTCTGTGTGACTCACAGTGTAATGAAATTTCACCAGTTTCTTTTGTTAAAGGTAGGAAAATTTTTTCAAGTTAAAGGGTATTTAGCTACATGAGCTGTACTTCTCAGGAATGTATAGGAGAGAGGAGGATCATGCAAATTAGGATACATTCTCATGAGAATCTTTCATTTCAAATATGTACCACATGTCAGAAAGGTTAGATGGTCTGTATCAGCCTTGTTATTTAATCCTGGAAGATTAATGTTTTTCACTCTTTTATAAAAATAGGCCTATTTCATAATAATAACAATGATAATTGATCCACAGATATATTCTTACTCATTGGCCCATGTCAGTTTTGTTCATCACTGTATATTCAGAACCTCCTATAGTACCTGGCAATAGTAGGCACTCAGATATTGTTGCATGGAGAGTGTTGGTTATTGTTAATTGCAGAGTAATAAACTTTTACTTGTTATATTATGTGGTGATGATTTAATTGGAATTGTTTCTTAAATTACACTAAAAAGCCAAGTTACCTTTATAACGTTAAGGCTATATGTTAAAAGTTCTAGAATATGTTCTCTCAAAACTTTAGCCTGATTACCTTTTCTGAAATGTTTTTTTGCTCTAGTATGCAAATAGACTTCAGAAATAGTAGTACTTTTAAACAAATAGAATCACTGTTGACCGCAGTTTTGTTTTTGTTTTTGTTTTTTTGCTATGTAGGCACCTCAACTTTTAAAGAAATTTTATTGGGAAATAGTGTGTTTTTCCAGGACCCATCAGCTCCAAGTCAAGTAGTTGTTTCAATCTAGTTGTGGAGGGTGCAGCTCCTTGGCCCATGTAGGAATCGAACCGGCAACCTTGGTGTTATGATCCTGCGCTCTAACCACCTGAGCTAACCGGCCGCCCCTTGACTACAGTTTTCTGGGGCTAATATTATAACTCATCCTCATAAGTTGCCATGGGTAGGTAGTATGGTAAAAAGAGTTTGGAGGTTCAGTAATTAATATAAATTCAAATATTCTAAATTTTATTGGAGTAATTTGATAATGAGAAAAAGTATGGTGACTAATTTCTTTAATTTGTATGTAAATACATACATATAATTTCTCTTTGTTAAAGTAAATGTATAATAAATGACCATTAAAACTGCACAAAGAAGTATCTTATATTATCCTGTTCGTGTTTATTTCAGGGCTGAAAACAGAGTGAAATCATTTTTCAGAATTAAAAGACGATCAAGGAGACAAGATGGGGACTCCTGGTTCTGGAAGGAAAAGAACACCTGTGAAAGACCGATTTTCTGCAGAAGATGAAGCTTTGAGTAGCATTGCCAGAGAGGTACGTCTGGAAAACTCCCTCTCAACACTGACATGCACAGAAAAGAGAATGCTGTAAAAATGCTGGGGTGACAGATATAGATATTCATTCATTGAGCTAGCTTCTGAATGCTTACTATGAATAAAATGTTATATCTGGCTCCTAAAATACTGTATTAGAATAAAATATGGTTAACATTTCTTTACTTGGATATCTATTCAACTCATCTAAAATTAATATTTCATTTTATTTTTGTGGATTATTTGAGTTCCATGTACTTGTCCTAATGTATTGAAATTTAGAATTAATCTTCAGCATTGAAACTTAAGGTAATTAAAACCTTGAAGATATAACTATATTATAGAAATGCTCATTGGGCTTTGTACGGTTAATATATCCCAGGAGGCACTGTGTAAATGTTGACAGGAACCATCCTTATTTGGTATCTGCTAGATTCAGTGTCTTAGCTGTTTTTTTAGATATTTCAGTGGAATTTTTATGTCTAACGTTTAGCTAGTAACAGGGCTTCTGGAGCATTTTTGTTTTGGTTTGTTGACAACTCAGAAAAAAGAAAAAAAAAGGGGAAAGGTTGTCACCTATTGAATCACTGGCAACATTTCCTGTTGCATATTGGAAATTTAAGATGATTCCCAGCTGGGATTTCTTAGTGAGGTGCCAACTTTGTTTCAGACTCTAACTCTATCTGTAGCTGCAGACCTGACCATAAACTAATCTGATAACAAGAATTGTTTAGAGTACTGTATTATTAAATTGTATTCTTTTGGTGAGAATTATTCCCTCATCACTTCCTCTTTGTTATTCTTAGTAAATAACTCATTTAGGACTAGTGCTGTTTCCTTTTGACATATTACACAGTATTTTTTGACCCAGCTTTTTGTTGTATTTTTTCTATGGTAAGCTACTCAGTTAGCTTTTGAATTAAAAGTCAAATTCAGTAGGAGGATATTTGAAGCCAAGAAAAGTTATCTAAAAACTGATGACAAAATTTAGATTATGTTAACAAAATTGCTTTAAACAATCAGGGAGATATTTTTAGATAAAAAGGCAAAAGGTTTTTAAAAATGAAGTAATAGATATTACTTTACAATAGTCTTAAGTATTTGCATGAAATATTTTGGAAGCCACATGGTTTTAGTTGAAAATTGAAACTGCTCAAAATGTTTAGTTCCAAAATTGGAGGGATATAAAATATCCTGATTTCTATAAAGGGAGAAAATACCAGTATCTTCTAGGGTCATTTTGTATTGTCATTAATTATTTGTACTGTTTAATTGGGCATGATCCTTCAATTACAAAATTGGATTGCATTCTAACATCCAACACTTGAGTGCTTACTATGTGACAAACACTATTCTAAGTAGTATTTAAAATGCATTAGTTTAATCCTCACAAAATTCTGAGACTGGTTTCAGTATTATCTTCATTTTACAGATGAAGAAACAATTGCACAGAAAAGTTAGGTAACTTCCTTAAGGCCGCATAGCTAGGAAATAGCAGAGCTAGGATTTAAACACATGAACTCTGGCTCCAAAGTCTGAGCATTTAACCACATATTCTGCTGTATTGTTCCTGAATCTTCTCCAATTCCTTTATTAATAGCTCGTTTGTCTGTAACTTCATGGTTTTGAAAGCACTTTCACATCTGGGTTCTCACAATACCTAATGAAATAGATAGGATAGGTATTATTTTTAGCCTTATTTACAGATGTGGAACCAGATGAAGCTGAGAAAGAAATGTCAAAAGGTATCAGAACTGGGGCTCAAATTCAACTATTTAACGCCATTGTTCATTTTACTATACCATACTTCCAGAAGAGGTGGGCTTTGGATACTTATAAGTGGGCCTTTAATTCTAACTCTATTAATTGCTGATTGAATAGTTTTGTTAGACTTCAGTTTCCGCATCTGTAAAATGAGAATAATAACTGTGTTCCTGTCTCACTGGGCTGTTGCGATGATTAAAGACAATAATGCATGTAAACCTTTAGCACAGTGTTAGGCTTGTAGTAGGCTATTTTATTGCTTATCAATAAGTCAAAATAGAAAGTGAGAATAAGATAATATAGCCTCCTTTTGTAAAAATAAATTTATTAAGATAGGAGTTCTAAAACATGGTTGATCATCTAGAATCTCCCGGGAAGCTTTTTCAGTGTATAGATTCCCAGTCTGTTCCCCATGCTTTTACATCTGAATCTATGGGGTTCAGCTCAGAAATCTGTATTTAAATACTCCCTCTCTCTCTTTTCACACTCCTTCTTAGGGTATTCTGATGGCCAGTCAGGTTTGGGAACCATGTACCAAAATACACATTAAAAAAAAAAAAAGAGATAATTGACATATAGCATTAGTTTCTGTTATATAACATAATGATTCAATAGCTGGATATATTGTAAAATGATCTCCACAGTAAGCCCAGTTAACATCCAATGCTGCACATCATTACATTATTTTTCTTGTAATGAGAACTTGTAAGATTTACACTCTTAGCAATGTTCGCATATACAATACAGTATTATTAATTAACTGAAGTCACCATCCTGTACATGACATTCCCTGGACTTGCTTGTTTTATAACAGGGAGTTTGTACCTTTTGACCACCTTCACCCATCTCATGCCCCTCCCCACCCCCACCACCCTGGCAACCACCCACCTGTTCTCTATGAGTTCTTTTTTTAAAAATAGGATTTCACAGTTGTTTTCCTCTCAGTACATTACTATTTTGCTCTGAAATAACAGTTTAACCCAGTTACTGTTATTGTAAAAGGATATAAAAAGTCAGTAATTCTAGTTTTTATTTCTGTCTTCAGAGCTCTGAATATGAATATTCCAACTTTAATAACCTGGTCAGAAGGCTCAGCTTTAATCTGAAACATGAAAGGGCCAGATTTTACTATTAAGATTTAAGACTTTATTTACATGATAAGTTCCTAATGTGCAGTACTTTTAAAACTTTAGAGGAAATACATTTAGCAGTTTTAATAATTCTTTCATATATTCCTTGTGAGTCTTTCTCTTTTCTTTAAAGTTTTCATAGCCAGTTCTTTTTTCCTTTAATTAATCAATTAATTTTTTAATTGAGGTATACTTGACATACAACATGACATTAGTATCAGGTCTATTACGTAATGATTTGATATTTGTGTATATTGTGAAATGAGCACCACAGTAAGTCTAGTTAACATCTGATACTATACATAGTTACAGATTTTTTTTTGTGATGAGAGCTTTTAAGATCTCTCTTAGCAACTTTCAAATATGCAATATATTATTATTAATTCTAGTCACCATGCTGTATATTACATCCCTATTTCATAACTGGAAATTTGTACCTTTTGATACCCTTAACCCGTATGACCCACCCTTCACCCCTGCCTCTGGCAATCTTTTCTCTGTATCTGTGAGCTTGGGGTTGATTTTGTTGTTTTGGTTTTTTTTTTAGATTCCACATTAAGTGAGATCATATGGTGTTTGTCTCTCTCTGTCTGACTTATTTCACTTATATTATTAGGGCCTTTCATGTCACAAATGGCAAGACTTCATTCTTTTTTACAGCTGCATAATATTCTATTGTGTGTGTACACATACATATCACATTTTCTTTCTTCATTCATTCATTCATTCTTGGACACTTAGGTTGTTTCCATATCTTGGCTGTTGTAAATAATGCTGCAGTGAACATGGGGTGCATATATCTTTTCAAGTTAGTGTTTTTGTTTTTTTTGAATAAATACACAGAAATGGAATTGCTGGATTATATGGTAGTTTTATTTTTAATTTTTTGAGGAACCTCTGTACTATTGGGTTGTCGGAAAAGTCATGACGTATTTTTTTGTTTTTTGTTGCAAAAATGCGTCATGACTTTTCCAACAACCCAATATTTTCCATAGTAGCTACACTAATTTATATTTCCACTAACAATGCACAAGTGTTCCCTTTTGTCCGCATACTTGCCAACACTTGTTATTTCTAGTCCTCTTGATGATAGCCATTCTAACAGGTGTGAGGTGATATCTCATTGTGGTATTGACTTGAATTTTCCTGGTAATTAGTGATGTTTGACACCTTTTCATGTATCTTTCAGCCATCAGTATGTCTTTGGAAAAATGTCTATTCAGATCCTCTACCCATTTTTAAAAATCAGGTTGATTGTTTTTGAGTTGTATGAATTCTTTATATATTTTGGATATTAATCCCTTATCAGACAGATGATTTGCAAATATTTCTCCCATTTTGTAGGTTGCCTTTTTATTTCGTTGATAGTTTCCTTTGCTGTGTGGAGGCTTTTCAGTTTGTTGTAGTCTACTTGTTTATTTTTGCTTTTGTTGCCTTTTCTTTTGGTGTCAAATCCAAAAAAATCATTACCAAGTTTGATGTTAAGGAGCTTACTGCTTATATTTTATTCTATAACATTTATGGTTTTGGGTCTCATGTTCAAGTCTTTAATCTATTTTGAGTTAATTTCCATGTGTGGTGTAAGATAGTGGTCACGTTTTATTATTTTGCACGTGGCTGTCCAGTTTTCCCAACACCATTTATTGGAGAGACAGTCCTTTTCCTGTTGTATATTCTTGGCTCCTTTGTTGTAAATTAGTTAAGCATATATGCCTGGGTTTATTTCTGGGCTCTCTACTGTGTGCCATTGATTTATGTCTGTTTTTATGCCAGTGCCATACTGTTTTAATTACTATAGCTTTGTAATATAGTTTGAAATCAGGAATGTGTTGCCTCCAACTTTGTTCTTCTCTCTCAAGATTGCTTTGCTTTGGCTATTTGGGTTCTTCTGTGGTTCCATCCAAATTTTAGAATGGTTTGTTGAATGTTAGAATGCCATTGGAAGTTTGATAGAGATTGCATAGAATCTGTAGAATACTTTGGGTAGTATGGCCATTTAAACAATATTAATTCTTTTAATCCACGAGCATGGACTATCTTTCCATTCAGTTGTGTCTTCTTTCATCAGTGTCTTATAGTTTTAAGTGTACAGGTCTTTCACCTCCTT